GGCAACCAATCAATGTGTCTCTCTCACATTGATGTTTCTCTCTCTGTGTTTCTCCCCCTCCCTTCCATTCTCTCTAAAAATTAATGGAAAAATATCCTTGGGTGAGGATTAACAAAAAACTAAAACACAAAAACAAACAAAAACTGCTGCAGAATGTCCAATGACAACATAACCAATTACCATGAGCAATGTGGTGTGATCACATGCTAATCACTTACTGAACATTGCTCATGAGCAGTGACTCTGAGATTTAAATATGTAGACTACAGTTGTAGATATGTAATATTTACTTATGTTAGTGAAATTACTAGTGCTTTTTCCAACATACGGTTTATTCACTAAAATTTGTAAAAACAGTGAATTACTAACAAAAAACTTGTTAATTATACGCAAATCTTGGTTAAAAGCATTTTAAAATTAATAGGATGTTAATTTTCACATATGACATATGGACTGGAAATTTTGTCTGTTAAATCTGAGGTCTGCCAATGAGGGTTTACTGTGGGAAACTATGTAGCACAAACCACCTGACTTGGTCATCAAATAAATGGTAAGAAACAAGAAAAAAGATGTTTGTGGAAACTATACATTAAAAGATTTTGGAGACATATAAACTAATCAAAATGTGTGAACCACATGTGAAACCTGATTTTACTTACAATGCAAAAACAAAACTCATTAAGTATGGTATGATCCAGCAATTGGACTTCCATGCATATATTCAAAAAAATTGAAAGCAGCATCTCAAAGAGATATGCATATACATCCATGTGCATAACAGCATTATTTGCAATCACCAAGAGGTGGAAACAACCCAAATGTCCAATGACAGGTAGAGAATAAACAAACTGTGGTCTATACACATAATGAAGTATTTCTAGCCTTAAAAGAAAGGAAATTCTGACACATGCTAAAACCTGGATGAACCTCAAAGATATTATGCTAAGTGAAATAAGCCAATTACAAAAAGATAAAACCTATATGATTGTACGTATATGAGGTATCTAGAAAGTCAAATTCATAAAAACAGAAAGTAAAATGGTGGTTACCAGGGACTGGGAGGAGAGGGGATGACAAATTGTTGTTTAAGGGTAGAGTTTTAGTTTGCAAGATGAAAATTTTAGAGATTGGCTATAGTAGTGTGAATATACTTAAGGCTACTGAACTGTACACTTAAAAATTGTTAAGTTTTATGTTGTGTACTTTACCACAATTAAAAATAAAAAAATCCATTATGTGTGAATATAGATACAAAAACCTCTAGAAAATACTAGCAAAACAAATGAAGCAATGTATTAAAAGAATTATACACTATCTTCAAGTAAGATTCGTCCCAGAAATGAAAGGTTAGTTTAATATCCAAAAATCAATCAATGTAATAGATAGTAATAAAATGAAATACAAAATCCACAAGATCATCTCAATAGATACAGAAAAAGCATTTGACAAAATTGAATACCTTTTCATGATGAAATACTCAACAGTCTTGTAACAGAGGAAACTTTGTCAACTTGCTAAAGGGCATTTTCATAAACCCTTTATATATTATGCTAATTAAAAGAATCCAATCACAAAGACCAAACTATATGATTCCTTCATATGAAAGGTCCAGGATAGTAAACTTATAGAGACAAAGTAGATGAGTGGGTGCCTAGGGCTGGGCCAGGGGAGATTGGGGAAGGTATGAAGGAAGATAGGTATAAAGTTTCTTTTTGGGGTGATGAAACATTCTAAGATCAGATAGTAATGAAGGTTGTAAAACTGTGATATACTAAAAACAATTGAAGTGTAAACTTTAAAAGGGTAAATTTTATGGTATGTGAATTACGTTTCAATACAGTTAATTCTAAAATTTAAAAATCATTAACTATATGAGACAACTGGAAGTTTGAATACTGTTATTTGATAATATTAAGGAATTACTTGTTATTATACTTGGATGTGATACTGGTATTGTGATTTTGTTTAGAAGGAAAAATACTTCTTATCTATTTGGGATACATATTAAAATATTTACAGACAAAATTATATGACATCTAGATTTGCTTCAAATATGGAGAGTAGGTGGCAGTATAGATTAAACAATATGGAGGAGAAATTAAGATGGCGGCATAGATAAACACCGGGAAATTGCTGCCTCCCACAACAATTGAAAAATACAACAAAAACACAAAACGGACATCATCCAGAACTACAGGAAGGCTGGCTGAGTGTAAATTCTACAACTAGAAGGGAAGAAAAGCACACTGAGAGCCAGAGGAGCTGTGGAAGTAAAGTGCAGAGGTACAGGGGGCTCGCGCGCGCGGAAAGGGGCTGGCACCTGAGGACGCGGCTGTCTTTTTGAATCCGGAGGAAGTCACAAGCTCCCGACGGTGAAGTCCAGTTCCGGGAAGTCTCTGGGGACCCAGGACTCATACGCGGAGAAACTGGATTGTCTGGCAGCGAGCGAACTTGAGGGCGGCTTTCCCTCAGAGGTGCTTGCAGCGATTACCGGGACACTGAGACAAGCTGGCCCCTCAGGGCAGGGCTGGGAATCCAG